GCATACTCTTCTGACTATTAAGCTTGTCTATAAACTTCTTAAATGCTCTAAAATGCCAGTGTATCTTGCATTCAATAAAGGTTATATTCATACATAGTCTGCGTAAATGTCTTGCTTTAAATCTGCTTTCCTTAGAAATAGTGGACCTGGGCATCAGAGGATGAAACTAAAATTTGCTAAGCTTGGATCTGTAAATTTACTGGAACTCTGGCTTTAAATTATTAAAATGGTGTAGGAAATCGGTTGCTTAATGCAAGGCCTGCTGAAAGGGAAACATACTTTTTTTTTAAGCAAAATTCATGCTACGTGCAGATATTCAGTTGGCTCATGCTATCAGCCTTGCATAGAAACAATGAAGGTATTGGCATGATCTGTCCAGGATTACTTAGGCTTAGTACGGAGACTTAGGATCTGCGAGGCCTTGGTATATTGCTTTCATGACTCTTAACTGGCAACAGTGAACTCGTTTTTGGACACGTCCTTTATACCTTTTAGAAATCAAACAGGTTTTTATGATGTGATCTTTGGTATCTTTATGGGTACAGTTTGTTGTCTTCTTGTGGTAACAGGAAGAGGAATGACATATACAACGTGCTGTAACCTTGTTGTCATCCTTAGCAGCGTGGAGGTCTTACTGTGTTGATGTAAACAACACATTCGTCAGTGTTTCCCAGTTTTACTGGTGTCAGTTGTGTCCTTCATTATCAATTCAAGTCATTATTTTAATCCTTGCTCTGTGGTTTGTTCTGATGCTGTTATGTGCACTCATATTTACCAATCGTACTTTATTCAGACCAGTATTTTTGCTAAAAAAATCTCTAAAATGGCTGCCCTTCTGGTTCATTATTTTCAGTGTTAAAATGAGGAAACTGCGTTGTTTTTTTTTTTTTGAACTCTTTGAAGAGTGCAGCTTATTGAAATAGCGTTGCTTCGTAAATACTTATTTGTGTTGGCATGTTGGGTATCTCCAGAAGGAACTGATCACACGTAGATAGAATTACTGTATTTTTGCTGTTTAACTTTCAAATGAGCTTTGTCTAAGGATGAGATGAGATGCAAGAAAACTAGTGTAAGATGTACATGAGAGGGGAAGTGTGCTCTGCTTTGCAGTCTTTCTGGTTCCTTTTCTCTGGCTTTTTATTGATGCATTGCTGAGTTTCTCATGTTAAAGAAAAACATATACTCTTAACTGAATGAAGTTGTCCATATGGACTTTGCCTTATTAGGAACCGTGTGCTTTTTGCCATGAGTGTATTGCTGGTTTATCTGAATTGGTACCTCCTTCCTTCTCAGCAGTAACAATTCTAACAGATGAAAACCAGTGGTCTTCCTCTAGGATTAGTTTCCATGTGCAAATAAAAAGGTTATCTCAGTGGTGTAAAGAACCAGCAGAAAATATAGTTCAAGATGCCTAGGAATTGACCTTGGATAAATTTCAATGCAGCAGGATTTAATTGCTGGTTTTAATTGTAAATTTTGGTAGTAATTCACCTGACCTAAAGAGATTACTTTTTTCTGAGCTAACAGGCTTTTTTTCTCTAGTATTTGTAGATATTGGTAAATTCAACCCATATCCAGCCTGTTCTATCTTAACTTGGTACCAGCATTTATTACAGAACTCTCTAGTCTGTAATGAAACAGAATTGTAGAGGTGGAAGTCAAAGCCTGTTTACAGTAGAAACAGACACTGAGGTGTAATGTCCATAGAGAAGGCAATACATATGCTTCTCGATGTCCTGAAGTAGAAACCCTTTAATAGTTAAGAATATCTCTACATCAAATGTTGATATGACTAGGCTGCATTTTGGACTTAATACAGGGGAAGTAAGAGCATGAATAATGTTAATTTCCTCACCAGTTGATAGGTCTTCTGAATTACTTTGTATAGAAAGAGAAATTACTTTAGCAATCTAGCTTTTTAAAATAACTTTTGGATGAACCAATTTCTCTTGCAGACTGTGTTTCTGAGTATCTTGATGAGGTCTATAGGGAACAAAAATACAGTTCTCCTTGGCCTTGGCTTTCAAATCCTTCAGTTGGCTTGGTATGGTTTTGGATCTCAGTCTTGGTAAGCACGCATTTTCATAGGTACATATCTGTTAGGAACTGAAAATGTTTTTCCGAGAAATTCTGCCATTTAGTTCTGTTGTCCTGAGTATTTAAATATTCTGTGAATTAAGCATTCTCATTTGCATTACACTACCAGAGTTTGGTCTGTATTTTGCACATGTAGCAATGATAGAATTTTCCGGGTATATTGTGTAAGGTGCAGAGTAACAGCCCTTTTGAAAAAGGAGTCTTTGCACTGTTTTGGTTCACTGAGTTTTATGCCTACGAATGTGGTTAAAGCTTTTTCTTAAACTCACAAGCTAGTAAGTAGTATGTTCTCTCTAGTAATTCCACTAGATCTATTTTATCAATCAGTTATTAGACCCCTACTTTTTTTCTTTGTTTTCTAACATGTCGTTCTCTTACTGTATTTGGTCTTGGAAACTATCTAGAACTTCTTTTGTTGAAAAAACTGTGAGTAAACTAGAACTGTAAGCTGGAACAGCTTTTTCTTTACAAAGTTTGTCCTACTGACAGTGACGAATGCTTGTTCTTTGTCAGAGCCCATGCTGGTGAGTTATACAAGTTAGAGGACTGCCTCATTGGGACACCTTGTGAAATTGTTCATTTGTACAGCCTTTGGAGGGGGAAAGGCTGTGCATTGCTTCACTCCCACTCCTCTCTTTTCCTCTGCTGTAATAGCTAGTGCACAATCAAATGTGCTTCTGTTCCAACAAGCTCAGGGTAATTCGTGGGATGGGAGCAGGAAGAAGGCCCTGACCAGATAGTTGCCAGTCTTTATTTTAATAAGAGAACTTTTGATAGGGCATTAAGCCTTAAATGAGGGTACCCTTGTGGCCCTTCTTGGCAGACTGGGGACTAATTATATGAGCAGTCTCATTTTAAATTCAAATAATGTTATTTAACACAGGATGATGTGGGCAGCAGGCGCTGTTGCAGCAATGTCAAGCGTTACATTCCCAGCAATCAGTGCTCTGATTTCACGAAATGCAGCATCAGATCAACAAGGTGAGTATTGAATGAATTTCTGTTTCAGTGTCAGACAGCTTTCTTGGATGACTCTGCTGTCTAGAAAGCAGAATACTTACCTGGATGTACTTTTCCAATATGTTGATAAGTAATGACTGTCTTTGGTAGTAGCTGTGGAAGTCTGCCGATCTATGTAGAGAGGAAGGAGGTACACAAATTTATCAAATTTGCATTGCAAAATACATGCTTTCTGTCTGACCAGCTACTTCTCTTCTAGCTTCTGTAAAAGTACTACAAAAGCAGGAAAACCAGATATGGTAACATTCATGTTTTTTCCTGCCTCTTTTTTTTTTTATTAAAAGTAATATTCTCTAAGCAGATAGGGAGGATTAATGTAACAGTACCCTCTTTTTAATGGAAACTAAGAACACATCTTACCAGATTAAAATAAACCTATACAAGAAGCTCTGTTCTGTGTGGAACAGCTGGCCCTATTTGTTATAGTACTTCAGGTTTTCAAGGAACAGAAAAAGAAGCTTAAGTATATAGTTTATCTGAGAAGACAGAATAATTCATTGGTTTTGATGTGAAGTGGAATGAACAATCAGAAATAACTCTTCATTTAAAATGAAGTGAGGGAAGGAGTCATCACAAAATAGAACACTGGCATATAATAGCTGAATTTAGTGTTCTCTTTCAAAAAATCCTGTACATGTAAATTGTAAATATCAGTCTTGCCTTTCCGTCATGCAACTTGAAGTTAGGTAAGTACAGTTAATATGGGAGGTACAAGGGAGGTGCAGTTCTAGGAGGCAGGTTTCCATTGAGTTTGAAAGCTGCAAAAGACAGTATTTTACGTGGCTTTTTTTATCATTCCCCTCTGCTCCATTTTTGTTTCTAATAGACACATTTAAAAGAGTTTTAAAAGACTTGTTTTCTATTTATGTTATGAAAGTAATAGTTTAGTTAAGTTGACAGAAGTCACTGATCTTTCATTTTACGTAAAGGAAACTACTGTTACTAGCCGGGGCATACAATAGTTTATAGAGTGAAGTTTTGCCACCTAGTGGCAAGAAGATTTTAAGCTTACATGTCAAACTATGAAGAAAAAGCTTGGACAACTTTCTTTTTGGCATGTGTGGTTTTTTTTTTTTTTCTTCCATTTTGCAAGTTACTGCCTTAAGAAAGAATCAGATACACAGAGTATTAATATTGTAAAAATAGTGTTCTGTAGAATCTTAATCTGTAAGATAGTCAACTTTTTATGCTGTTATCACTATCACATAATGAAGTTCAAACAGAAATACACCCATAGAACTTTGATTGTTCAAGCTTTTAAAATAATCTAATGTAAGAACTGCAAGCAACCTAGTATTGTGAGTTTACTGCAGTCCTACTGAATTTACTGACCCGAATAAGTTACTTGGTACTTAAATAAACCATGGTTTTAGACTGGTGAGGGGAAGAAATCTCTTACAGTTTGTGCATATTTTACTGATAACAACCCTTAATACATAGATATATTACTCTAAATTTCTTTTGAAAAATAAATTGAACAGGTACCACACTTCACTTCTGCTTTCTTCACTGTAGGCTTTGGGTGAGGGTGAAAGAACTCTAATGCAGAAAATTAGACTTGCACGTAAATTTAGTCACTCATATTCAAAACTCATATTGCTTCCAATATCATGGAAGTACAGTGACAGAGCTATGGTCATGCAGAGGATTATTTTAATCCAGCCAAGTTGGTTTCAATGTATTTCTTAAGATCTTAGTACGTAGAAATAATTGAGATGTGCTATTTTGGAACAGCCATTAGAATACACTCAGAGCTGTTGGCTCTGAGCATTTCATTCTTGATTTAAAAGAAAATAAATCCTAATCTTTTTTTTTTGTTAGGTGTTGTCCAAGGAATAATAACTGGAATAAGAGGTCTGTGCAATGGCCTGGGACCAGCACTGTATGGCTTTATTTTCTTTCTCTTTCATGTGGAGCTCAATGAGCTGCCACCTGATCAGACTTCTGGAAAAAAAACAATGCAAGATCCCAGTGATGAGGTGAGTTTAAAATTTGATGTGAAGTTTGCAGTGTAGCGCTCATAAGGGTAAAAATCTGTTCCAGTAAGTTTTAAACGAGTTGAAACTTCTGTTGTTTAGAATTTTCTAAAGCTTGTGGTAGAAGAAATTCCTGTGCTGAAGCCTAATGTATGAGCTTCCTTATAAAATAATGATTTTTCTAAGGTGTAAGTATAAATTAAACTGTCATTTCACGTGTCCTTGTTTTCTTGAAAACCTACTTAATAAATAAGTAGACATTTTTTAGTTAGCAGTACAGCAAAATCAGTAAGTATTTGTATAACTAAGATTGCTTTTTATTCTAATATCAATGGGACAGCTCTTACGTTTAATTATGTATGTACTCGTAAGGTTTGTTAAATGCCCCTAATTACATCTCTCCCTGGTAACAGTTACCAGACACCTAACACATAAAACTATCATTCAGGAAAATAATAATACAAAATTTTTCCTACTAATATTCAAGTCTAATATAACAATGGGAAAGAACTACACAATTTAAATACATATGTTGCTTTAAAAATCAATCTAAGTAAAGTGAGTGGAAATGAAAACCAGGGAATGCACCAAGATTAGACAAGGAAATTAGCAAATGTGTACAAGCATAGCTTATATTAGTAGTACTAGTACCTTGGATTTGCAAGGCCCAAATGCAAGTTACCTGTCTCTTGATTTTGTTGAATATTTTAAATTGATAACTAGAGGTTGCTTTACAGATACATGTTGTTTGAAAAATGTTTTCTTGATTTTATTAAATATTCATAAATGTTCACTAAGAAGCATTTTAATAACAAATTTAAATGGTCAAGTACCTTGTCTTAAAAAGTTACTGGATGTCTGTGGAACTGCAGTTAACTGATATAATGTGTTTTAGTCTGTGACAAGCATTGTTAATTTTTTTTTTAATGCTTAGGCTTGTATTCTACCCCTGCTTGTCAAAAGCTGTGAGTCTATAGGAACTCAATTGAGAATGCAGTGTTACTGTGCTGGTCAAACCCAGTGTGCTGTTGAAGTGAATTAAAAACAATTCTTCCTCCTTTGTTTCCACCACTGTAATACTGGGTGTTACTGCAACTACAGGAAATAGATTTTTAAGTTGTTACCAGACTTAGGTTATTTATGTAGGTATTGTTGAAATTATTAATGTGAAGAATAAATTTGTGTAACTTTTGACACATTTTACTTTAAGAGAAAGCTGTCTTGTCCCATTTTAAAAAAATACTAAGTTTAACTTAACTAGTGAAAGCTGATTATTCTCCTAATTTAGTATTGTGCCTTTTGGTTAGTCTTCTGTGTTCGCTGATGGACAGAGTGCTAAAACAAATTGTTAGATATAATGGTTCTGTAAACCTTCATATTCAAACCATGGTAACAGGAAAATCTATATGCAAATTTCAGTTATTTAATATGTAGAGTAAATAGAAGAGAATATATCCTAGTAGTCATTTCTGGTAGGTTTTTAAACAGCTCAACTTAATTTTTTCTTTTTTTAACTTACCTTTAAGTATTCATTTCTGTTACTCTAGGAGACTTAAGAATAGGATTTTACGAATATCACTTTTTTTTTTTTTCCTGTGGAAGTGGGAGAGTTGCAATAGTACCTCAGGTCACACTTGTGATTGTGTTCCATCAAAGAAAAGATCTAATGCACCTGTTGAGGAAAGATTGTGTGTCTGCTTTTCAGAGCATCAGTAGTAAAAGTTAAGCATATCTGTCTTAATTCCCATTTAAATAACTGTTTTCAAAACTGGAAACCCTGAAGAGGAGAGTGAGGTTGCATCATTATAACTATCCACGGGGAGTCCATACAACAGACAATGCAGTCATAGGCTGTGTTTGGAGAGCAATAACAACATTTGGTAATGCAATGAGCAAGGTCTGCTTTTCAAAGCTCCTTACTCCCTTTAATGAAACTGCAATAGTGGAATATTCGAAGGTGCTCAGATAAATCAGCTGTAATACTACAAATGAGGATATTAATTTATGGAAGTTTTATTATAATCTTTAAGTACTTGTGGACTTAGCACCACTTGAAGATTTAAGTAATATCATTAATATAAATTCTGTTAATATGATTATATACTTTAGAGACCATCAGCTGAAAAATTAGGCCTCTGCTTGTAACAAGAGTTGAAGCAAGGGAAATATCCTGTTACTGTATGCTTAATTTCAGCTGCTTTCCCACTTCATATTAGAATATCTTCCTGTCCTTTATTTGGTAGAAAAGTAGTACACTGGATTGACGAGTTTCATCTTCTGATTTTATTTTAGTTGACAAAAATACAGAAAAGTTGTTTAAGATTAAAAAAAAAAAAAATCACTGGAATCCTGACACTTCCTTTTGTAGAGTTTTGTCATTAAACTTAGCTGGTTTAAAATTAACCTTATAACCTTCCTGGTGCTTGTTTTTAATTGTGGTTATGAGATGTGGATAAGCTGTATTTTACATATTTTAAAATAAACTACTTAGAAGCGAGACAGAATAACTCCAAATACTAAGTCATCATATATGACAACAACCTATCTCTGCAGTGAGAATGGTATGTACTGCATAGCCTGCTTCCTCACTCACATATAAGTTTATGAGGATGTTTGTTTATTTGGCTTACTTGATTCTAAAGTATGTCAACCATGGAAGCAAGTGGAAAAAGTGAAGTTAAGCTAAAGATTTATTGAGCGTTTGTACTTCTGGATGTTGAAACCTTATCCTATTAATCTTCAGAGGAATCTTGCTGATTTAACAGACATGTTACCTAAAGAAGGAAAAATTACGAAGAAGCATCAGTCAATGTCTGTTTCATCTGCTAGGCAATCCTAGTGTCAATTGATAGTTTTGTGCATGTTTTTGTTCTTTAGATCAGTGTGCAGATCAAGTGAGGAATTCTTAGGGATTGTAGATGCAGAAAATTCATGTTGCAGTGCACATATGAACTTGTTTGCATAAACTTTATAGTCACTGTAAATGTCTCCCATTATCTCCTGCCTTAGTAGTATAGTTTTTAATGCGGAAGTCAATGTCTGAAACTTGATGAATTCTTTAATATGCTTGTTTCCCTGCAGAGAACAGTTATTCCTGGTCCACCCTTCCTGGTTGGAGCATGCATTGTTCTTCTGGCTTTTCTAGTTGCCTTATTTATTCCTGAGCACAGTAAAGCCAGCAATACCAGAAAACACAGCAACAGCATCAGTAGTACTCTGAGTAACAACCTAGACCGAAGTAGTGAAGAGGATATTGAACCATTGCTGCAAGATAGCAGTGTATGAAGGCTAACTTCTGTGGAGACTATGGAACAAATTCACACACTGAATTGCGACTCTGGAAGCTTGGTGGGATGTACAGATTACCTGGTCTCTGAAAGGAAGGCAGCTGTGTACAAGGGAAGGTCACATGCTATATGATACTTGAGGTCGATATGATACTTGCAGGACGGTTTGTTCAGGATGGCAGGTCACAACTAGGTGTGATTCTACCCAATATTGGACTGTGGATGCTATGTCAAATCCTGGTATTGGGTAGAAACCCGAATATATGGACATAATGGATTTTTTTTAAAGTTTGAATGTTTAATTTCCAAAGTTGTATGCAAAATAATCAGGTTTGAGGCAGAACAGTTTCTGCCAGCACTGTTAAAGGTTGTTTTGCGTTTCTTATGCCTTTTGTCTGCAGGTAGTCCTCACAATTTGAGAGAGACTGATCTGTATAGGTTTGGTATCTGAAATAGTGGCTATCAGTAAAAGTGATTGAATTTCCTGAAGACATGGTCTCAAATATTATTTAGTAACGAGAAGTCCAGTAATTACCAGAAAGCAGTCATGAAAGTGACATGACTTCTGAGGGTGTATGATCACACATGACAGTTGTTACCCATAGATGAAAGTCATACTGAAGTTTTAAGCCCACATTCCAGAACAGTCAGTTCTGAGCAGTTAAAGCAAATCTGGGTGGCACTTGAGAGCACGAGTCACATTAATGTTTTGCTGATAACAAATAGAATTTTAATTATAGAATGAGTAGCATCAGAAATGTGGACACTCCTGACTTCAAAGGCAGGAAAAACTGTGGGTGCCGGAGCAGTTTACATCAAGAAATATGTATATTTATTGCATTTTGTCACTTTATCTGCTATATGAAATAATCTTTCCTATTAATTCTTTTCACCCTGCCTTAAGTGCTACTTAGTGTTCAGTTATTAATCATATTTAGCCTTCATATCGCTGTCCTACCTGCTGAATCTCATGGATATATTCATATCAAATTTCCTTCCTAAAAGATGCTTTAAAGGAGTTGTGAATGGCTACCAATGTGCTAATTTTTAGAGACATTTTATGAAAAATACACAGATTTGTATGTATTTTGCTGCAGTGTAAATGGACCATTAAGCCCAACTTTAATGACGTACTCCAATGAATGTTTTATACGTATGCAATATATGTAGATATTCCTGAGGAGTTTTAATTTTTCCAGATGGGGTGCTGTGTAAATCATGTATTTATAAATGTCATGAAGGTACTGACAGATATACAGTTTTTTAAAAGGATTGTGTATTGACTGAACAAATTTTAAAAATATATATTTTGAAACTTGTTCCACATTGAGCAGAGATAACCTTTTGTACTATGCAGTTTGGTTTTTAAGTTAATAAACTTCCTAATGCATAATAAATCTACATCTTAAGCTTTCTAGGTTTCATTTGTAAGTGTGTGTTCTTCCAGGTTCACTATTGTGCCTTCCCTGCTTCAGAAGTGGTTTAACCCTAGTGCTGGATTACAGTACCTGAATTCCTGTTGTACCATTGTGTCTGTGTCATCAAGGATGGTGAAAAGCATGCTTTGCTTAGAAGTCCCTTTGGTGTCTGACATGGTGTGCAGTGGGGTAGAGAAGTGGAAAGAATGGGAGGAGTCAGTTTCAAAAAAAAAAAAAACAAACA